TTTTATTGATTTCAGAGAGGAACGGAGAGGGAGAGAGAGATAGAAGCATCAGTGATGAGATACAATCATTGACCAGCTGCCTCCTGCATGCCCCACACTGGGGATCCAGCTTGCAGTCTGGGCATGTGCCCTGACTGGGAATCGAACCTTGACCTCTTGGTTCATAGGTTGACGCCCACCCACTGAGCCACCCAGGCTGGGCTATTTACTACTTTTTCATAGATAAAACCCCTGACCTCCAAGAGAGCTGTAGGCGGAAAAAATTTAACCCCTTTTTCTTTCTTCAAAAAATTGTATTTTTTTTTTTAACTACATCTAAGAAAGAAAAAGTCAGTACTGATATGTTACTTGAGCTAAAAGACATAAGGAACCAGACAATGTATATATTGATTAAATTTCTAAGAAATACGAGGTAAAAATTGAAATCTTTGAATAAGTTTTAAGCTTCTACAAAGAAGTAGCATTTGCCATTCGACATAAAATGAAGACCTACCATATATAATATACAGAAGTAATACCTTTCACAAGAAATAGCTCAAGCTTTGCTAATGGTTCATATCCCATTAAGGCATCTAAAAAGCCAATCCATGGAACAAGTACTTCTCTCTTCTTATCTATTTATGCAGTAGTTTTCATAGATATCTGCCTGAAGTCCCAGGCAAGGCCAAAAGTTATCCAGGACTTCATCCCTGTTCTGCCAGACGTAGGTCTAGACCAGTGGTTCTCAACCTTCCTAATGCTGCGACCCTTTAATACAGTTCCTCATATTGTGGTGACCCCCAACCATAAAATTATTTTCATTGCTACTTCATAACTGTAATTTTGCTACTGTTATGAATCGTAATGTAAATATCTGATATGCAGGATGTATTTTCATTGTTACAAATTGAACATAATTAAAGCATAGTGATTAATCACAAAAACAATATGTAATTATATATGTGTTTTCCGATGGTCTTAGGCGACCCCTGTGAAAGGGTCGTTCAACCCCCAAGGGGTTGCGACCCACAGGTTGAGAACCGCTGGTCTAGACTGTTATCTTTTCCTGGTTATCCTCCTCCATCTCAGTGCTGCCACTGCCATGGGATCCCAGAGCCCCAGCTTCCTTGGCCTTGAACTCTTTCTCCCTCTGCAGGCAGTGCTGTTTAATTTCAGCCTCAGCTGCTTTGGCCTGCTTCAGCCTCCAGTCATTTGTGGGCCTTGGACACCTTCTGGGTGGTCCACTTCTCCGCCTACAGATGCCTTGTGACTGAGTGGCCACAGAGGTGGTAATTCTGAGGCCTAGGTGAGCAGCCTAATTGGGCCAGATTTGTCCTGGGTCAGCTGACCTAACTGCTTAATATCTGTACCTGGGCTGGTGCTCTGTCCTCTATCCTCTCCCATCTCCTTTAATTTTTAATAGTAACCCATGAAGTAAGTACTATATAGACAAGGAAACAAGTTTAGAGGGTATAAATTTCTCATGGTCACTTGCTTTTGTTCATCTCACTCCAAACCTCATTTTTAAAATTCTGTATTACCTATACTCTACCCTGATTGATAACAGGGATCTGAAAAATCATGCCTTCAAACTCTTACACTTAGGAAAATAGGCCAGTGATTCTGCAGCTTCCTCGTAACCTTTACTGCTTCTTGTCTTAGCTCCTGGGGCTATTTCTGAGCAGTAGAAGTTACAAGTACCCCACTGAACAACCAGTTCCAAGTCCTATCATCAAATCCTATGTTCCTGCTCCAAATGGTAAGTTTTCTTATGGATGTATTAAAACTTTTATAAATTTTAACTCTTAGATATTTTTTTAAATATATATTTATTTCAGAGAGGAAGGGAGAGGGAAAGAGAAACATCAGTGAGAGAGAATCATTGATCGGCTGCTTCCTGCACACTCCCTACTGGGGACAGAGCCTGCAACCCAGGCATGTGCCCTTGACTGGAATTGAACCCAGGACCCTTCAGTCCTCAGGCCGATGCTCTGTCTACAGAGCCAAAACGGCTAGGGCTAACTCTTAGATATTTTTATCTGTAGAAGGAAAAAATAATACTTTTGTGAATATAGGGTTGGTTAGTCTTTACTGTTTTGCTTCTGTTTTATCATACTGAGAAAATCAGAAGTATATTTACCTCATAGGACTATTGAAATTATTTAGCTAAACAAATAAGATGCTTTATGTCAGCTCAGAATTTATTGTTATTTGTTTTAACTTTATCCTTAGACTACATATTTAAGTCTGTATGGTCATGCACAATGGTATGTTTTAATAGAGTATGAATTATAGCTATGAAAATAATCTTAGTGAATATTGTTTCTTTTTTTTCTATTGCCTGAATAGTTAGGAGGTTGCTTTTATTAGAATTTAGAATATTTCTGAAACCCAAACTCAGATATTGTTTTAAATTATTAAAATCTGATAATTATATTAACAATAATTACTATTTACTGTGTGTCTTTCATAGATCTGACATTATGCTTTAAATGTTATGTAATCCTCATAACAACCCTGTAAGATAGATGGTGTTATTGTCGTATTACAGATGAAAAATCTGAGCTAGAAAAGTTAAGAAATTTATAATAGGTCAGAGAAGTAATTTGGCTAAATTAGCTTTCAAAGCTTTTGCTTTTCTCATAATATACTTGTTGTATTTGAATTTTGGATATGTAGAAAGTGAAAGAATTTGAAGATGCTGAAAGTGAGAAAAATCAAAAGGGTATGGTTATGCCTGTTTGTGCATTGTGCATAATTAAGCAACATTTAAGTTGAACTATAATTCTAAACACTGAATTATAATTCTTTTGCTTTTGTTTTTTGTTTTTAGGTAACAGATGTATAATATTTCTTTTATTTAAAAGAAATGAGTGTAACTAGTGTTGCATTAAGAGTTGAAACCTGGCTTTTAGCTACATGGCATGTTAAGGTACCTGTAACGTGGTTGGAAGCTTGTATTAACTGGATCCAAGAAGAAAATGATAATATTAATTTGAGTCAAGCACAAATGAATAAACAAGTTTTTGAGCAATGGCTCCTTACCGATCTGAAAGATTTAGAGCATCCTCTTTTACCTGATGACATTTTAGAAGTCCCAAAAGGAGAGCTGAATGGATTTTTTGCTCTGCAGATTAATTCATTGGTTGATGTAAGTCAGCCTGCATATTCCCAGATGCAAAAGTTGAGAGGAAAGAATACTATGAATGAGTTAATTACAGCTGAAACACAAGTAACCCAAAAGCCTTGGGAAGCCAAGCCTTCACGAATGTTGATGCTACAGCTAACTGATGGAATTGTACAAGTGCAGGGAATGGAATATCAGCCTATTCCAGTTCTTCATAGTCATCTTCCTCCAGGTACAAAAATTTTGATATATGGAATCATTTCTTTTCGTCTTGGTGTTCTCTTATTGAAACCAGAAAATGTGAAGGTGTTGGGAGGAGAAGTAGATGCTCTTTTAGAGGAATATGCCCAAGAAAAAGTACTTGGAAGATTAATTGGGGAACCTGATCCTATAGTTTCAGTCATACCAAATAATTCTAACCAAAACATCCCTAGAAATACAGATGATATAGAGCTTGAATTAGAACCTTCTGATGAAGAACTCTTGGCAAGTCTTGATGAAAATGATGTGTTTGCAGCAAATAATGACACCTCCTTGGAAAGAAGATGTTTCAGCATAGGTAGTTCCTCAAATACTATTCCCACAGGACAGTCAAGTTTTGAACCAGGACTTGTTATTTCTCCAAGACCAAAGGAGAAACCACCAAATCAATCTGTGCATTTCACTGATGGGGAATTAGATGACTTTTCCTTAGCAGAGGCCTTGCTTTTAGAAGAAGCTGTCCAGAAAGAACAAATGGAGACTAAAGAATTGCAGCCATTGACTTTGAACAGAATACCAGATGACAGTATAGCAAGATCTTCATATAAGCCTAATACTCTGAATAATTTTTCTTTAATTGGCAAAAATGGAAATGATAATTGGAATGAAAATAATTTATCTGAACAAATGACTGATGAAGACCACAACAATGGTGTTTTTTCAGTTAATCATAATGTATCCATAACCCATGGTTTTTCAAATAAAGATAAGAACTCAGAGACAGATAATAAAGTGAAACAAACTATCATCAGTTCAAATGTACATTCCTTAAATAATACAATATTAAATAGAGAACTGGTCAGAACTCCAAAAAGAAGTTCACAAATTTATAATGGAAATGATCAGCGTTTACGGAATTATTCTTTAAAATCATCAGAGAACAGCACTAAACTTTCTAACACCATGGATTTGTATTCTCCACCCTTTATCTATTTGTCTGTTCTAATGGCCAGCAAACCAAAGGAAGTTATAACAGTGAAAGTCAAAGCCTTTATCGTAACCTTAACTGGAAATCTCTCAAGTTCTGGTGGCATTTGGAGTATAACAGCAAAGATTTCTGATGGAACTGCATATCTAGATGTAGACTTTGTAGATGAAATACTTGCTGGTCTGATAGGGTTTTCAGTAGCAGAGATGAAAAAGTTAAAAAAGGACCCTCTTCAATATCAGAAGTTCCTGGAGGGTTTGCAGAAATGTCAGCGAGATTTAATAGATTTGTGCTGTCTAATGACTATTTCATTTAATCCCTCCTTGTCTAAAGCAGTGGTACTGGCATTGGAAGATATTAATGTGGAACACCTTGAGAACCTAAAGAAGCGATTGAATAAATAATTTACTAAAATATTAGAAAACAACGAAATATCTAGAATTATATTTGTCCTTTTATTTTTGAAACTTTCTGTTCATAAAAGGGAAAAGGAAGTTTCACAACTTATTTCAATTTAAAAGTGTTTAATGTTTGTTTAGGTTTTTTAAATAAAATTTTTTATTAGATGAACTTGACTCCTGTTGTTGAGAAATTTGTTTTACATTTATTTCATATAAGATGATTGCTAGAATATTGTGTTAATGTTTACTGATGTGTCATATTGTTGAAAGTTAACAATTTTAAATAGATAGTTGTATTTCTGATATATTGAGTACTCAAAACTGTTTGTTCAGGGGTTGGGAATATCTGGCCCACAGGTTGTATGAGGCCCACGAAATCAAGGCCAAGCCATGTAGGGTGAGTTAATTAAATGTTTGACCAAATATGGCAGTCTAATTTTTAAGTTGATAATTTTGTATGGCCTGCAAATGATGTTATAAATATCCAAATGGCCCTTGGCGGAAAAAAAGTTCCCCACCCCTGGTTTATATTATTATATTTAGGAAAATATAAACCACTAAATCAGAATGTCAGGCTTTCAGATGCAAATTTGTCTTACTGGTTTTTATTTTGCTGATTTTAAATATTTGTCTGGTATATCTAAGTTAAATATTAGGTTAACAAGATGCCATTTCAGAGAATATATTGAAATGTTAAAAAAAAAACAAAAAACCCTTACTTATAAGAATCATTTATTTTTAAATGACATATGGAAAATTTCATTAAGGTCCAGTAAATATTTCCTTTTTTTTGGATTAAAATAAGGTATTATCCCCTTTCTGAATTAGCTCTACATATTTAAGCCTCTCTAGTTATTTTTGGAATTGCTGACTTTTTTTTTTTTTTTAAATATATTTTATTGATTTTTTACAGAGAGGAAGGGAGAGGGATAGAGAGTTAGAAACATTGATGAGAGGGAAACATCGACCAGTTGCCTCCTGCACACCTCCCACTGGGGATGTGCCCGCAACCAAGGTACATGCCCTTGACTGGAATCGAACCTGGGACCCTTCAGTCTGCAGGCTGACGCTCTATCCACTGAGCCAAACCGGTTTGGCAAGACTTTTTTTTTTTAAAGAGGGATTGTTTACCATTTTTCCATTTTGCTATTAAAAAAGCCACATTTGAAAGTTAAGATTATTTTTATTAATCTTTGTCTTTAATATTTTTTCAAACATTTTTTATTGATTTCAGAAAGGAAGGAAGAACGAGAGAGATAGAAACATAAATAGTGAGAGAGAATCATTGATCGTCTGCCTCCACACCCCTTATTGGGGATCAAGCCTGAAACCCATGTATGTCCCCTGACTGGGAATTGAATCACGACCTCTCGGTTCATAGGTCGGCATTCAACCACTGAGCCACACTGGCCAGGCTGACTTTAATATTTTCAAAGTGTCTTGAATTTTACCATTTTTCCATTTTGCTATTAAAAAAGCCACATTTAACTGAATGGAGGTAGGGGGTGGAAGGAGAATGGGAAAGAAGTGTATTGAGTATTTCTGTTTTGGCTTTATCTTTGGGGTTTGCAAACTTTCAGAAGAGAGGACAAATTCCTGACTCTGGTCTTTCTATGATGGAGTAAATGTAGCTAAGGGCATCAAGAAGTTACCTCCTGGCCAACTTCTCCCAGGCTGTCATGCATATGCCAAAACAACAATCCTTCCCTCTCTTCTACTATTTCAGAGATTTAAGAAATTAATCTATTAAAATCAGTCTGCAGGCTGACGCTCTATCCACCGAGCCAAGCGGCTAGGGCGATGGAGATTTTTTTAGTTAAAATAATGTAATAGGACAATATCTGGAGGATAAATGCATATACAAAAATATATCGACATAATAGAAAAATATTTTTTAAATTTTTTGTTGTTTGAAAGATGATAATCAGAATTCAAGGAACAACAGATTTTGCTGATGTGTGGCTTCAGACAATCATTGATCTGGTTTGTTGTTTTGTCACTAAATAGGTTTGCATTCTCTTCCATTTTATATAAATGGCATGATATAATGTGTATTTATTTGTATTTGGCTTCTTTTACTCAGTATAATGGTTTTGAGGTTTATCCAGTCATATATCAATATTTCAATCTTTGTTGCTGAGTAGTAGTGCATTGTATGGGTGTACACAATTTGTTTATTCATTCACCTGTTGATGAATATTTGAATTATTTTCAGTTTTTGGCTATTGTTAAAAGCTGCATTGAACATTTGTCACAAAGTATTTGAGGGGTTGAGAAGCTAGTGTAAAAAATAATAACAGAGCTAGAAGACAATTTGGCAACAAGTTGTGTTAATTAACATTTGTGTTAATATACACTTTCATTTCTCTTGGGTACACACCTACAAGTAGAATGGCAGGATCATATCGTAGATGTATGCTTAATTTTATAAGAAACTCCTGAACAGTTTTTCAAAATGATAATATTATTTTCATTCCTGTGAACAGTGTGTGAATGTTTTTATTTTATTTTTCAATTACAGTTTACATTAAGTATTATTTTCTATTAGTTTCAGGTATGCAGCATAGTGGCTAGACAATCACGTACTTTATAAAGTACTTCCCCTGATATTTCCAGTACCCACCTGCCACCATACTTAGGTATTATAATATTATTGACTTCTTTTTTAAAAAAATATATTTTTATTGATTTCAGAGAGGAAGGAAGAGGGAGAGAGAGATAGAAACATCAATGATGAGAGAGAATCATTGATTGGCTGCCTCCTGCACACCCCCCACTGGGGATCGAGCCCACAACCCGGGCATGTGCCCTTGACCGGAATCGAACCTGGGACCCTTCAGTCCACAGGCCGACGCTCTATCCACCGAGCCAAACCGGCTAGGGCTGACTATATTCTTTATGCTGTACTTTACATTCCCGTGACTAATTTGTAACTGTCAATTTGTACTTAAGAGACTTATTTTAAATAAATGTTTACATAGGTACTTCATTTTTGTTGTAAAAATATTTAAAAATATATGTGAGTAAAGAAAACAAATCACTAAAAATTCTACCACAATACATAACAAATTAACATTTTGGGATATATTCTTGTCTTTTTTACACTATATTATTTTTAATAAAAGTTATATACACTGCTTTATTTTGCTTTTTCCCTTTAACATGGGACTAGCTTTCTATTTTACTAAGTATAGCGTTATACCATCATTTTAAATAGCCATATAGAATTCCATTGCATCAATTCACTGTACACTGAAAACAGCCTTTTATCTGTTGTTGGACCTTTAGGTTGTTTCTACTTCTCATTTTTATAAATAACTAGAGGCCCAGTGCACGAATTCGTGCACGGGTGGGGTCCGGGGCTGGCCTGCCCCGATTGGGGCTGGTGGGCCGGGCTAGCCAGGGGGAGGGGATGTGGGCGGTTGGCTGGCTGGCCCCGCCCCCGGTCAAACTCCTAGTCAAGGGGACAGTTTGCATATTAGGCTTTTATTATATAGGATAATATAATGGTCATCGTGCAAATTGTATATTTTTTAAAGCACTTTTTAATCTTTTAATTATTTTTAATCCTCAACCTAGGATGTTTTTAAAATATATATATTTTATTGATTTTTTACAGAGAGGAAGGGAGAGGGATAGAGAGTTAGAAACATCGATGAGAGAGAAACACCAATCAGCTGCCTCTTGCACACCTCCCACTGGGGATGTGCCCGCAACCCAGGTACATGCCCTTGACTGGAATCGAACCTGGGACCCTTGAGTCCGCAGGCCGAGGCTCTATCCACTGAGCCAAACCAGTTAGGGCTAGGATATGTTTTTTAAATTGATTTTTAGAGAGAGAGGAAGGGAAAGAAAGAACCATCGATTGGCTACCTCTTGTGTGCGCCCCAACTGGGGATTGAACCTGCAACTTAGGTATGTGCCCTGACCGGGAATCGATCCTGTAACCTTTTGGTGTACAGGATGACACTCCAATCAACTGAGCCACCGAGCCAGGGCCTCTGTTTATTATAAACTCCAAGAATTGCTGGCTCTAAAAATATGCACATTTTAAAAAGACTTTTGATACTTGTTGCCAAATTGTCTTCTAGCTCTGTTATTATTTTTTACACTAGTTCTGTAGTCTTTGGGCATATTGCTTAACTTTTTGAGCATTAGTTTTCTTATCCATAAAGTGGAGATAATGTGAAAATATTAAAAGCACTTAGTCCAGTGCCTTACACATGGTAAGTACTCAATGGTAGCTATTATTACTTTTTAAATTTAATTTAATTTAATTTATTTATTTTTTAATTGCAGCTTGTGTTTAGTCACATAGGTGTGGAGTATTACTTTTTTTAAAAGTTCTTCCCATTCATGTTTCTATCTGGAGTTTTTTTTAAGAGTGTGTCATTTCTCAACCCCTCAAATACTTATACAGGGTATTATCATAAAAAAGGTCTTTGTTAATCTGATCATTTATTAGTATTCTTTTGTGAATTATCTTCCTTGATGGTGGTCTTAAATATTTTTTAAAATTGGGATGAACAATAAGACACCAAGTTTTCAGATCAGTCTCTAATAATTAGGAGTGGAAAATAGATGATTATCCCATAAATAAGTTTGGTATTTTTCGTTACATGTGAATTCATTTGGTTAGTATTCATTGTAGCTTTAAGATTTAGGGCAGTAGACCCACAGTACATTAAAAAGACTACTCAATATAAATCAACTTTAAATATGTATGTGACATTACTTTTCCATGATGGCCTGGTTCTTTATGTCACTTTTATGGGACCTCAATGCTAATTGAAACACAGCTAGCTACATAACCCCACATTTATTTAATTTTTACCTCCAAGAAATAATAAATTGACAGATTGTTCCTGGTGATTTTACATGTGAACATTGTTAAATGTTATCAAATTATTTACTCAAGGGGGCGTGCAAGAGGCAGCTGAATCGATGTTTCTCTCTCATCGATGTTTCTAACTCTGTATCCCTCTCCCTCTCCCTTCCTCTCTGTAAAAGATCAATAAAATATATTTAAAAAAAATAAAAAATAAAATAAAATGCTTTTATATCTCAATATGAATTATAGTAATTAGGCTCAATTTTTAATCCTTAATAAGGTTGTTCACTGATGGTGATCAAGTGCTAATA